GGCAGGGGTCAAGCGTAAGGCCCGGCAATTCGGATTTGGAAAAGCGGAAGCCTAACTGAATATTTTTCCTGAATTTTATACTAATTGAACTTGAAAAAGAAATTTAATTTGATTTTTTAAATAAACGATTTCACCGATTTACACGCGTTTTCCCTTGACCAAATTTTAACCGTATCACCCTTTACACACGTACACGCTTATGCTATACAACTAAATCGAGATCCATCGAAGAAGTGCGAGCCAGAGAGAAACGCATTGATTGGAAAACAATGAATCCCTCCATTTCCGTGTGCTAGATAGAGAAAGACGATAAAACGTTATAAAGCTCTATGCAGATGAGAATCGAATTCGATTTCAACGCTGTTCCCCTGCAAGCGAGTAGTTCGTCAGATCCAAAAGCGAGCCAACGAAAGAGACGATCAGTTTCACATTACTCGATCTCCTGTCCCTGTCATGGATTCCAAGTCATAAAAGCAAGACAAATGACACCCGTGGATGGACCATCTCTTGCAACTCAGCACACTCACAGGAAGCCTGTGAAAATGCAATGGTATCCGAAAAACATAACTAAGGGTAGGAGGAGAAGCTATCCTTTCCAAAATTTTAGTTCATGGATGCCCCCTTAGTGAAAGAGAAAGATAGAAATAGGTAGATGGTAGAATGGAGAGATCTCACCAATATTGATATGCGTCTGTGTTCCGTATTAGCCGCACGGACACGCTCGTACTCATAGTTGTGTATGTATTTGCCTAGCATCGTACGCTGGTTCCACCAATTCTGCTGCATCTTCAACAAACACAACACGAGCCTTTTTGCACACACATAAGCTTGACCAAAATCGAATGCTTTTAGCTTTTCGGAATTCACAAATGACTTCGTTTTTTTCATCTTTTCCACATTCACTAACACAAAACAAAAATTTTGCATCCGCCATTTCTTCAAGCCCATTTCACTATGATGGCATTGGACTTTTTTCTTTTATCTTCCGTTCACTGCACATCCTCTGAATAGAGTCATTATCAGTCATTATTGTAATAATGTCTTGAATGACTATTTAATCACTCTTCCATGCAGCCGAACTAATAAACTCGCCGACACATATATAAAAATGCAGATATACCGGGAGAAAACTTATGCACCTCCACTCGCGGCAAAACCACGATCCGAACTGAATTTTATAAAATTTTGGACTATATACAAAATAAAGTTCACACAAAATTTATTTCGATATATTTGAATGTTAAAATAAAAATAGTTTTTAGATCCCTAACCCATGTGTTTCTAAGATTTTGTATCTAAAAACATATATATATATCCATGATAGAGATTGTAAGTATAAATTCTTCGAAAACAAATGTTAATAAAAGTTAACGAAATTAGTTGAATTGTCATAATTTTAAGACTAAGATAAAATTGCAAGGTCCTTTCTAGACGGTAATTTTATAGAAATTCTAGTTCATGAATGTAACAAAAAAGAAATTATAATTTTAGAAATTAAAATTTGTTTGACCTATTCAAAAGTTTCATAAAAACTCCACAAAATTAATGTTCCTGAAAAAAAAACGATGAAATTATGTTCAAAATAAATTTTAGGGATTTAAAAAATCATAAGCTAAAACAAGCTTTAAATTTCCTGGACTTCATAATTCATTTTAAAAAAATTTGAGAAACTAACAAGATCATGAGACTTACAGCATTTTTCGAGAGGAAATTATTTCGAGATAAGAAAATAAGAAAAAAACTAAAGTTTAAAAATATCCATCTTCGGAAAAGTTGTGCAAAATTACAATGCAATTCTTGCAAAAATATACACGGTTAAAAAAAAATGTGTTTTTAATGAAAATGTAAAAATCGTGAAATATTCAAAAAACCATAACTTTTTTGTTTTTGAGTTTACCATCACCAAACTTTGCCAGTTAGTAGCAAACATGATAAGCTTCAATAAGGCTTAAAAAATAAAAAAATTTCAAAAACTACTTTTTGAAAAATTAACTTTTTTAATAATAAATATAATCTTTTTCATTGATACAAACGAAATTTTTTACAGTGTATATTTTTTACATAATTGCCAAAATAATATCTACAACTTTGCTCTAGACCCCAAATCAATCGAACAAAGCGTTTTGGCAATATATATTTTTAAACTCATTAGTACTATTTTTACACAGGCCCTTTTCAAAAACTTGTCGTATTTCAATATGATAAACTGAGAGCACAAAATGGCGCCTTTACTAAAAAGGAACAACTGTGCAAAGTTTCAGCGTAATTGGAAATGATCGGTCAGGATCGATTTGCGAACCTTCGTGGAATGCCTCATATGCTTATTTTTTTTTAAATCGGATTTTGATGCCATTTGTAATTATAGCTAATTATGGTCCATATAGACATATTTTAAAAATTTCTGTATTTACACTTTTTTTTAAAAGTATGCCATTCGATTACCTATAGCTTGAAACGGATAATGTGATTGGAGTCAAGTCGATAGGTTGTATCGTTGTCGAGAAATCGTTAAAAACGTATCGTGTTAATCGCGAAAAACCGTGTTACTATCAGTTAGTTCAAGAAAAAAAAAACATATTTCGTAAAGTGAAAGCAGAGTTCTTAACAAATGACTAATTTGTTCGAAAAACTGAGCATGTCAACCACAACATGGGTATTTTCAGAACGGTGACGACGTGTAGATTTAAAAATTCGAAGTCCGATGCCATTCAAGATGGTGGCCATCGGTTTTGGGGGAAAAAACCGTCAAATACGCTACAACATGCGTATTTCCGAAACAATAACGACGTGTAGATGTCGAAAAGTGATTTTGGACACCTTTTTGGATTGAAAGATGGCGGCCATTGGTTTAAGAAATGTATAAACTCTCCCCCTGAAGCACGCGAACTTGGTCTATACGAATTCCATTTACGTTGGTCTCGAATGATTCTGTTTACGCGAGGGAATCGCGTAAATGAAGGAATATCTCGTGACCCTGGATATATAGAAGATTACTGTCTTCGGCAATTTTTTTTTTCTTTATTAAAGAGACTAACTACGCGGTACTAGTGTGCATGTATTAGTGATTTCCTTGTTTATGTCATATCTTGAGATCCCTGCCATCTAGGAAGGTGCTGTCTTCGGCAAAGTTGTTCAGAAGATCAGGACTTAATAGTTGGTGGACAAAAGTTTGGAATTTTCTCAGTACGAGGCGCTACCCGAGCAAAGTACAGCATCAAAATGACAGCAAATTGAAATCAAGTTTTGATATCAACATCAAACTGAAATCATAATTTGATTTCAGTTTAGACAATTGACAAATTTGATACCTAATTTTGTTTTCATTTTGCTGTACATTTACTCTCCAGAAATATGTTGTTGCGGGTTTGTTTTCATTGACTTAGCATAACATCAAATTGAATACTTGTTTTGCTATCAACAGGAAAAATGGATATCAAATTTAGTTTTCAGTTTGCTCTCACTGATAGCAGAATTAGTTTTCAATGTGATGTCACAGGAAGATTTTTTTGCTCTCAATTTTGATATTTCAACCGTTAAAACGACCAAAACGACAGCAACCTGAGTAATCATTATCAGCAAAATCACAACATCAAATTTAGATTTCAATTTGATCTCAGACTTTGCTCGGGTAGTGTGCTTAAATTTGTGATCCCTAGTTTACGTTATAACTTGAAATCCTTGCCGTCTAGGAAGTTGCTGCCTTTGACGAAGTTGTTCATTGGATCAAGACCTAATGATTGGTGGACAGAAGTTCGGAGTTCTCTCACTTGAATTTGCGATTCCTTAGTTTATGTTATATCTTGAAATCCTTGCCATCTAGAAAGTTGCTGTCTTCGGGGAAGTTGTTCAGTGGATACCTAATACTCTTTATAGGAGGACCGGCCCAAGACAGAGAGCGTGCTGGTGTTATAAGCAAAAATATTGTAAGCATCACTTAAAAAAAGCAAATGATTACATAACGTTAGCATAACATTCCATACGTTCAACAGTTTTTGAGTGGTTTTAGACCCCCTCCTCGTCGTCCGTAGATAATCATCCATATACATTCAAGCTTTTTTTTTATGAACCGTGAACATTTGCCAACCTCCTATCCCCCTTAAGTTGTCCACTTGATATATGGACAGCCCCTACTACGAACAGTGAACGTGACGATTGAAAAATATTTAATACATTATTTACAACAGATTCCCAACCCTCCTCCCCCTTCGAGCGTGACATACTTAATGGATGCCCCCTTATAAGGATCTTATGGGATTGACGCACAAAGCCTAAGGCCAATTTCAAACGAATCAGCGAGTCAAAAGTGGAAACAAAATTCTGCACCGCAAGCGATGGTTCAGAGGTTATACACGGGCTCTCAATGCTCACAAAGAGAAAAAAAATTACCCTAAGGTTATTTTTACTTAATTTTGGGTAATTTGAGTTAAGCCATAAAATATTTAATCCGTTGTCTCTTTCCAAACATTTTCGGGTCTCAAGGGCATTGAGAGTCAACATTACACTCAAAAATCAAAAAAAAAATCAAAAATATTCTACACCTCACAAGTTCCTACCTCACACCTGCACGAGTCATATGATCACAAAAGACTGCCAGCTGAAACATGGACACAGCTGGTTGGCGAAGCCTAGGCAATATTGTCAATCCGACAATAACAGAGTGAGGAGGTGCGACGCGAACACTGGCGCTGTAACCATAGCACGGTGATAGAGGAAATGCTTCGCCAACCCGAGCGTCTGTTCACCATGGAGGTGCGGCTCAAACAGCGTCTGACTGGCATCCAGCGGCTGAATAAGAAATGCTCTTCCCCGGAAGCTACACCTAAGATGGCAGCCCCATCACGGCGGATAGGGTACTTTAGGCCAACCACCTACTGTCTCTGAAACCTTTACAATTGTTACAGAAACCAACAGAAAAAGACATCGAACTGATATAACGGCAACGACTTTTAGCGCAAAACAACGGACACGAATTGGATAATTGAATGTATTGACGTTAGCCCAGCAGGGTAAACTGGCACAACTCGCCAACGAGGCGCGACGCATGAAGCTAGAAATCCTGGGACTGAGTGAAGTTCGTTGGCCAAACTTTGGAGAACACAAACTACCGTCGGGACAGGTACTACTATACTCTGGTATTCGAGGTGAAAAAGCTCCCCGCCATCGTGGAGTTGGTCTCCTACTTAGCGTCGAGGAAAGTGCTGTGCTCATCAAGTGGGAGCCTGTTAATGAGAGGATAATCGTTGCCAGATTTAGAACGCGGGTTCGTAACCTTACCATAATCCAATGTTATGCGCCAACCGATGCTGCCGAGCTCCAGGACAAGGAGAATTTTTACAGTCAACAACCGTCATGGATAAGGTTCAAGATCTACACTGGCGACTTCAATGCGAAGATCGGCTCCGACAACACGGACTATGAGCGTGTCATGGGACGCCATGGTCTCGGCGAAATGAGCGAGAACGGTGAGCTGTTTGCAGAATTTTGTGGCAATAACGACATGGTGATCGGGGGCTCGCCCGTCCCCCATGGGCCAGTGCACAAAGTCACGTGGGTTTCCCGTGATGGACATACCGAAAATCAGATCGACCACATCTGCATCAGCCGAAAATGGAGACGGAGCCTTCTTGATGTCCGGAATAAACGCAGCGCCGACATCGCATCTGACCATCACCTTCTAATCGGTGAAATCTGCCTACGTATGGCGCGGATCCAACGACGGGAGGAGAGCTGAAATGCTGGTTTGAGCACTTCGAACAACTTCTTCAAGTTTCGACGGCCAACCAGCCATCAACATCTCGGCATGATCCACCTAGGGTGCGGCGCATCACTCGCGTCAATTCCGAGGCCCCATCACTGCAGGAGATTGAAGCAGCTATCCGAAGCATGAAATCCTACAAGGCTCCAGGGGTCGATCGCATATCAACAGAGATGCTCAAAGCTGACTCCATGCTATCCGCACAAATGTTGCATCAACTGTTCTGTAATATCTGGGGCACCGCGACTTTTCCGGCCGACTGGATGCAGGGCATCTTAGTGAAGGTCCCAAAGCAGGGGAATCTGACTGTGTGCGATAATTGGCGAGGCATCATGTTACTGTGTATTGTTCTCAAAGTTCTGTGCAAAGTTATCCTGAATCGGATACAGGAGAAGATCGACGCGACTCTCCGACGGCAGCAGGCAGGATTCCGTGCCGGAAGATCTTGTGTGGACCATATTGTCACGCTCCACATCATCCTGGAGCAGGTCAATGAATTCCAAGAGTCCCTTTATTTGGTATTCATTGACTACGAAAAAACTTTCGACCGTCTCAATCACGAGAATCTGTGGGGCACCCTGAGACGCAAGGGAGTCCCGGATAAAATCGTCAACCTAATCGAAGCGCAGTATGAGGCTTTCACGTCCAGAGTTCTGCATAACGGAGCCTTGTCCGACCCTATCCGGGTAGTCGCTGGTGTGAGACAAGGATGTATACTATCACCGCAACTGTTTCTCATCGTAATCGACGCAGGTCTTCATAAACCGATGCCTGCGGTATATAATTCGTGCCTGGTGGCCTCACAACTGGATCTCGAATGCCGAGCTCCATCGTCGATGTCATCAGAAGCCGATAGCAACAGAAATTTGAGAGCGAAAGTGGAGGTGGGTCGGCCACACACTTCGACGGGGCGGAAACAAAATCTGCAAGCAAGCGCTGGATTGGAATCCGGCAGGACATCGCAGCAGAGGCAGACCCAGGGGCTCATGGCGGCGGAGCCTCAATAAGGAAATTAAGCAAGTCGATAGGAATCTGACCTGGGCCCAGGTCAAGGCAAAAGCGAGCAGCCACGCAGGATGGAAGTCTTTCACGTTGGCCCTTTGCACCGCTGGTGGTGCACAGGACCCTTAAGTAAGTAAGTGGAAAAATAGAAGAAAAAAACAAAAAAAAGGGAACAAACTTTTCACTTGTAGCCAATAGCATTTAATATATAAATGTTACGTATAAAATGTTAAATTCAAATTTTTCGTATAACATATAACGTTGAACATAAAACAAAGAACCTATAAAGTAAAACAAAAAACGTAAAATATACGTTTAAACACAAAACATCAACCATGAAAAATCAAACAAAAAAAACCAGGCACAAAATCATAAAATATAAAGCATACAACATAAAACATGTAACATGTATCAAGTAACATGAAATATGTAACATATGACACGTAACATATGAAATGTAACATGTAAAAGTGACATAAAACACGTAAAATAAAACAAATAACACGTAACATGTAACACGAAACATGTCACATGTAACTTGAAACATGTAACATCACTAATTCAAGCACACTACAAATTTCCGAACTGCTGTCCACAAACCTCTAAGTCTTGGTCCACAGAACAACTTCGTCGAAGACAGCAACTTCCTAGATAAACAAAGGAATTAAAATTCAAGCACACTAGCACCACGTAGTGGAAAAATTCCGAACTTCTGTCCACCAGCCATTAGGTCTTGATTCTAAAAACAACTTTGCCGAAGACAGCAACTTCCTAGATGGCAAGGATTTCAAGATATGACACAAACAAGGAAATTACAGATTCAAGTACACTAGCACCACGTAGTGCGAAAATTCCGAACTTCTGTCCACCAACGATAGGGTCTTGATTCACTGAACTACTTTGTCCCTAAAAGCAACTTTCTAGATGGCAAGGGTTTCAGGATATCACACAAACAACGATATCACAGATTCAAGTACACTAGTGCCACGTAGTGCGAAAATTCCGAACTTCTGTCAACCAACGATAAAGTCTTGATCCACTGAACAACTTTGCCGAAAAAATCAATCTCCTAGATGGCAAGAATTTCAAGATATCACACAAATAAGGAAATCCCTAAATAATGCAAACTAGCACCGCGTAGTGAGAAAACTCTAAACTTCTGTCTACCAACAATAAGGTCTTGATGCACTGAACAGCTTCGTCGAAGAAAGCAACTTCCTAGATGACAAGGATTTCAAGATGTCACAAAAACAAAGGCATCATTAATTTAAGCACACTAGCGTTGCGTAGTGAGAAAATTCTGAACTTCTGTCCACCAACCTTTAGGTCTTGATCCACTAAACAACTTTGCCCAAGACAGTAACCTTCTATATGTCCAGGATCGCGAGATATTCCATGTTGGTTCCTATTAGGTCATATCCCATATGCTACGTGTACTCCATTTACGCGAGGGGAGAGCGTACATTCCGCGTCAAGTGACCGAGAAAAAAAAAATACAAAACTGTAACTGACATCTTCCGATTTTTATTTATTTATTTATTTTTGTATCAACCTGGAGCTGCGTGACAGCTTAGTTTTCAAGACTTGACGTTGGCAGCTTGAACACTGGATTTCGTGTGTAATGTTTCAAGATAGTTATAGAAAAAAAATACTGTGACGTGTGCGCGTAGGCACATCCGCGTAGTCATCGGATTGAATAAGTAAATCCGTGTCAATCGAAATATCTATGTAGATTATGTAGTTTACGAAAACCGCGCAAATTCTGAACGGTGCGAAACAACCGAAGGGCTGATTATCATTTAACGAGTGCCACCAAAATAAATGTGATAGCCTATGTTGGCAAGTTGATTAATTTTGGTTTCCTCCCTAGATATTCTACTTATTTACTACTAAGGTGTGCATCAAATAACTTAATTTAAAGGACGTATTAATCATTTATGAGTAAAAGTGGGTATGGGAAAAGAGTATTTTTCTGTTTGGCCCCATATATAGACTGTTCCAGAAAGTATAAGCACACTTCCAAAATAACAAAAAAATCATGTTTTTTTAAGTTTTAATAATTTTATTTGGCAAATCATATTTGTATTTGTATTTGATAATATTTGATATTTTGATATTTTACTTTCTGATCGCACACGGGCAGAGCTTCCCTACGTTGTGTGAATAGATGGCGAAAATAAAACACGGTCGTTTATCGGGCCATCCTGCCATGGCAGGGGCATGCGAACTATTGAATTTATTTACAATCTTTACAATAGAACGATAGGCATGATAACACTACGCTTGCGGCACTTGTGTGTTGATATGAGTATTTGGGTAGGGTAGTTGCACACGTTGTGTACAAACATATCAACATATTTAATCATAGCCAAGACTCCTAACTTTTCCTCGAACATGACCCATTAGCTTCTGCACAGTGGTACTTCCCACCATTTTGACCACTTTTGGCCAATCTTTTTTGAATTTTTGGATGTTGTCCGCTGGTTTTATTAATTTTCCGAGGCTTTGCTTTGGTTAAAGCCCAAAAAGCCTCGATCGGCCGTGCCTCCGGGCAGTTCGGCGGATTCATGTCTTTCGGCACGAAACATACATTTTGACTTTTGTACCATTCTAAAGTGTCCTTTGCGTAATGACATGACGCCATATCAGGCCAAAATACTACTTGACCTTCGTGCTGCCTGATCATCGGCAACAATCGCTTCTGGAGACATTCCTTAACGTATTTCTGAGTGTTCATCGTCTCCATTGTGATGTACGGACTAGATGTTTTACCACACTCGCATATTGCCTGCCAAACCATAACCTTCTTACCGAATTTTTCGGTAAAAATTGCCTTCTCCGTTTCGGGGATGTCCTTGCCTTCGCTTACAGTATAGAATTGTGGTTCGGGAAGCGTTTTGTAATCTAGTTTCACGTACGTTTCGTCGTCCATTATTATACACCCAGAATTTCGACACAATAACGAATCGTAGAGTTTGCGGGCCTGTGGTTTCACGGACGCGGCCTGTTTTGGGTTCCTTTTGGGTTTTTTCTGCTTCCGGTATGTTTTTAGCCCAAGTCTTTCTTTAGCACGCATGACGTTACTCGACGAGGTCCCTAGTTTTTTTTCGCAACATCCCGAACGGAAGTCGCTGGTTTTCGATTGTAGACATCCCTGATCTTTTTATCGATATCCGGACTTACAGGACCGGATTTCCGGCCACTCTTCGGCGCATCTTCAAACGTACACTGTTCTCTATATTTTTTTAACCGCAGTTCGTACCGCTCCAACGCTTACACCCTCTTCCTTGGCCAATTTTCTCAAGGAGAGTCCGCTCACAGTGCACCATTTGTGCACGATACTTGTTCGTTGTTCCGGAGTAAGACCACGCATTT